GAATGGATGGAGTTGCACTTGTGGGAACCTCTTCAGAAAGCAACTCTAAGAGTGTAAACTTAGATGGAGCTCGAAGAATGGCTTTAAAGAACATTGAAGCTTTTATTCTTGCATTTTCTGATCCACAAGCATTTTCTGCTGCTGCTGCATCATCTGTCCCTGCAGCTTTGACTCAAGTTACAGAATCAGCTCGTATTCATGAGGCAGGTCATCTTAGGTGCAGGTATGAATGTTGTCCCCCCACCCTTCATTTCCCATCCTTTAATCTAATGCTTACTGATAAGAATGTCTTAGAAACTTAAACTCACTTATCATAATAAAAATCGTATATCATGTCTGTAATTTTCTGTATGGGCTGTGTACGACATTCACTGTCTGAAAAAGATCTGTTTCTCGCTCATTGAGACTTCTAGGGCTTAATGCCTATGTATTTCATGGGGAAGAAACATGGAAATGTTACTGAGTCGACTTTATGAAATTCAACACATTGCTTCATCTTCATCATTTTGTGACACGACAAGATTGAATAGGTGGTGCTTAGCTGTTTTAGCAACTCTCCCTGGGTCCCAAATATTCTCTCTTGCCTTGTTGAATTTCGTCTTTTATCCCCTCGTTAATTTTCTTAGATATCCTTCTGCCTTTTTATTAATAATTTTTCTTAATTGCCTCTTCAGTGGAGCTGAGATTGGAAGATTCGTTACAATGTTACGTAATTCATCTTCTATTCTCAAAGCATGTGCTGCATTTGCCCTTCTTCAGGTAGGTGATTCTCTCTGTGGCACTGACATTCTTCTGATATCAGTTTTTTTTCAATTTAAACTGGCAACTTAACTGATCTCGTGTTTACATATTTTGTAGTTCACAATCCCAGGTGGTCGTCATGCACAACATCATGTCCGCCTATTGCAGAACACTGGAGCATCAAGGATTTTGCGTGCTGCTGCTGCAGCAGCCACTGCCCCTATCGAAGCCAAAATCTTTGCACGAATCGTACTTCGGAACTTGGAGCACCATCAAATAGAATCCTCAACCTAAGGCCTGGTGATGACTAGTAGTAATCCTAGGCCTTATTCAGCAATAGTGATAGGTATCCGTATACTCCTGTCAGTGACATTGACATTAGTCTCCAGTTTGTGTTAGCATACCGGAACTAACGGTGCTGGCTTTTGGGAAGAAGCAAAGGCTTCTTATTTTTCTACCCAAACGTCTGCCTGTTTTGGGGTTTCTTTTAGTTTTGTTTCTTGGGTACATAGGCTGTGTTATATTTCCACCCTTATGTTAGTTATTCTCGCGTGTCTGTTAGGCTTGATAGATCTATTGGCAGTGTGTTATATAGTTCCGGAGTCCAGTTGCTTTCAGATTCTGTATTTAATTTACCTGGCAGATTGTTTTATACCTGTACATTATATAGCTGCGGAGACGTCGGCATGCTGGCAATTTCTGTACAAACCGTTGAAAGAATTTCTATGATATACTTCTTGTGTGTTTAGGTGGTTTGGATGATGAAGTTGATGGTGTCTTTCAACCATCTGAAATTCCTTTATACCAAACATATATTTTGCTAATATTTTTGCAAATGGTCGCTTCAACTTCGGTTGGGAAAAAGGATGTTTTGAAACATATTGTTTCTTGACATACCAAATGACACTAGTTTGATTGGGTGATATTGGTCTTATTTTAGAAATATGAGAGTCTAGTCTAGACTATAAGAGGGAGGGTTATGGATACAAATTCGTGGCCCCTTTGCGATATTTATACCCACAAATCGAGAAATGGTCCAAATGTAATGTGAGTGAGTTCACACCAAGTATGGTCATTTCATTGCGATGAAGAAGGCATACTCTATTCCCATGGTGGAAGAAATGTTGTTGAAGTAATGGTCCAAGTGTTTTTTCAATGAAACGTAGTACTACAAGGGAAAAAATCAGGTTGTGGGAAGAAGTGAAAAGACTAGCTAGAATCTATAGTTTATAAACTAAAATTTCCATTATCTTAAGCTAACTGTTTCAGCAGGAGTGTGCAGCTGGAGAATTTCTTCTACAACACCACTGAATTCATCGTCGAAAGACAAAGGCCATAATAGACCAGATGATCTAGATTTGGTCACTGTAGTAGATACATTATCCAGCAAGTATGGTAGTATGTTTTTCTTCATTTCACTAGTAGATATTTCAAGATGACTTCCACATACTTTCAACAACTTCACTTTTCCAGCTTCATCCAACATCTTTAGACCAATCCAGTCTTCTGTATACAGCTTTGTCTACATACATCAAGATCAGGAAATATCCTATCGAAAATCAAAGATAACATAACACATTTAAAATGTTCTGTGTACTTCCACAGTGAAACTTAGATTGATTTATGATCAGAAAAGAAGTGAATTATGTAGAAACAGATGAGATTATGTGACGCGTAGAATGTTTATAAATTACCTTCTGAGCAGGCAAAACAGTGCTGAAGGAACCATCAGGATAGTAACCAAACCATGAGGTCTGCTTTGGTACCAAAATTTCATCTTTTTCAAACTGATGAAAACAACAAGAGGAGAACTTATGAGCTATCAAGTTCGGAATGAAGAGTAAAAGCTGAAAATCAAGTTGGGAATATATTCCATACTCACCATAATAAGTACTAAATTTTCCAAGCTTGCAAACCTTTTCTTGTAAGTTGAGTTTCTGTGTACCTCATTGTTGAGTACTGGAAGGAACTTACATCCTTTTCTATAGTTAGCTATGTCCTGGAAAGCGCAAAATGCCACAAAACAAAGCAGAGAAGATCAGATAAGTTTGATACAGATATAGCAAAATCACATAATTTGGTTACTTACAGTTGGGATTTTTATGTAACCTGCAGGAGCAAGATGTGCCTGGAATTGCATTAAAGGACACCATTTAATAAAGGGACTACATAGTTGTATTAGTGTTTATGAAAAGAAAAGGGCAGACCTGGATAAAATTGCTGTAAATTGCTAACTTGAGCAAAGAGTCTTCAAGAATGCACCAGATACCTGACTGCAAAAATCGAAAAGACTTCAGACACTACAATGTTTCCCCCAAAAAATAACTAAGAGAAGTTGAAAATGGCTAGTTCAGTTCATGGGATCAAAAGGAACATACACCACATAAGGGAATAGAAGCAATTCCAGCATGAGGACCAGCTAGAGATATAAGATTCCTCACCTGTTACATATATTACGAGAACATGAATAGAGGTATTCGTTGAATATACTAGATGATAAAGTTTTAACTTCTTACCGGAGGTCCATCATCACAGAACTCAATAACCCCTCTACCAACCATGTTCCCCTGGAAAAAAAAAGATGAGAGGGATTGCCAGACTTGTGAAAAAAGGAGATCAAATTATGCGCGGAAACTTTAAGAGGTCTACATTAGGAGGTTTATTTCCTGCAAAGTTGCTGCTCTTTTACCTGGGAGAGCCCAATTATGTTGTAACCTTCACTAAGCTCACTCATTTTCTTTAACTGTAAGTTGAAGGAATACTGAGATTAGGAACAACTGCAGGTTGATCAAGTAAACCAACACATTACACTAGCTTGACTTACCTTCTGGCAAGCAATGTCTATCTACAAACGAAAAAACAAGAAGCACGAAAAGTCATTAATTTTGCTTTATCCATGATGATGAATCAGAATCATGATAAACAGAGGTAACCTGCTTGGGAAAAGGCATAAACCAGGAGTCCCATTCTCCATTACCAATTTCTCTATACAAACAGAGAAACAAAAGCAAGAGATTAATTACTCTTGGAATTTAGCTAGAACTAAATTGGTAATTAGACTTAAAAGCAACAATTAACGACTAAATTTCCCCTGCTTCTCTAGTAAACTTTCGTCTACTGAAATGGACACATCACGAGAGCTACTAGACCAGATGATATGCGGAGGAATCCATCATCCTTTGTTTTTTTCTAAAAACTTGAACAGGTAAACGTAGCCATGCTTACATGCAATGTCCTGAAGAGCCTGACCAGTTGCTTAAAAGCTCGGTGAAATGTGTGATTCCTCCATTGCTACATTTATCTGATATTCCTGATTTATCATGTCAAAAACCAATTTCCTCTAAGATATCAAACAATTTAAACCCTACAATACATTGTTATTCCGATACGATAACAGAAGAAGATGAATTAACACTACATATTACAGAATACAAACAGAAACAGAGTCACCTTTGTTCAGAAGGAGTCTATTAACACCAGTTCATTGAAAAATTACACTACGTAAATAGGTCAAAATCTTTTGACTTTTTATGTATACTACATGTTGAATTTTGACTTTTTGTGTGTGTAGTTATTTCTCTATATTTTGAACAGTTTTACAATAATTAATCATCTCTAATTAATACCTATATTCAAGATTATTCAACTAATCAAGCAATCATACAAGGCTACAAACAACATTAAACATAGGATAAAGCAATATAATAAAATTAAGAAGATAAGTTTACCATGAAAGACAACAAAAGGAAGAGAATAAATAGTGATTGAGTGAAGGGTGAAGAGGACATTAATGAAAAACAAAGTGAATTTCATTGGAAAATAGTCAACAAGTGTATTGTATAAATGTTGGATTAACTTGTTATCAACAAGTGTGGATGTTGGAGAAAATAAATGGATTGCATAATTTCCAGGATATATAAATAATGTAGCACACCAAAAATAAAGATACACGTGGGAAGAGAAAACTAGATAGAAGGAGAGAGAAAAATAAATATTCCAAATGAGTTGTGGTAGTTGACAATCAGTAAATGAGTGTTCTAATTGATTACTTAGTTTCTCTTGTCATTGACACTTTTTTCATAATTTAAAATAACTCAATTATTCGAAGTTTAAAAAAACTATGATCATTTATTATATGAAGTACAGAGTCTTTCAATTTTTCATACGTACGCTCAATCATACAGAACTGAAACACAACATGACTAAAGTTTCAGTCATAATGCTTTAGTTCCTTATTGCGAGTTAGCATCTGAATGCACAAACTTCAATAATTAATTGTTTGTCTTCAACATGTTATATGAATGTATTTCATGTGGGCATATGGGAGATTCTTTTTTTCTTTCATAAATTTTACAGCTCCTTTGTATATATTACTTGCAAGAATGCCAGTAGATATGCTTTAGTTCCTTATTGCGAGTTAGTTAGTATACATGGAATGTATATACATACAATCTTGTGTACAAACTGTAAATTTTCATCCTGAATCCGATGTTCCTAGATGTTTTTTTGCAACTAGATGGTCTTCAGATGCTGCACGTTGGAGCAATAAACTTCTGGTAATCTTAACTGAAACAAGAGTCAGCAATGTAGCAGCAGGAACAAACACAACGTCTGGAATGCGTTTTATTATTTTGAGCTGAGGCACAGCTTCACCGGTTTTCTTGACTGCCATTGCTGCAGGGGGTGTTGCCAGCCCAATGAAGAGCAATGTATTATCTGTCTTGTTTGGTTGTATTTTCTTCTTCAGGAACTCTACCACAACCGTCTTCTTACTTTCTTCATCTACTGCCTTTTCTCTTTCCTCAAAACATTCCTATATTTGCCACACATGCATTAGCAACCAGTTTATGGGTGATGTCCATCTGTGCGCGTGTGTTGTTTTGTGTGTATATATATATATATACATACAGAGAGAGAGAGAGTGAGAGAGAAGACAACCTTAATTTCGTGAAACGAAGGCACAACCCAGTGCTTGCCAGGCAATGCACCATTCACAGTGCTGTGGTTAATTAAAAGAAGCTTCAGTGTTACCCAAAGATGTGGTTTTAATAGTTAGGAACAACAAACTAGATACTTGTAGTTTATCGGGAATTACGTTTTCATTTGATAAGTTTAGGCTAGTTGTATCAACAAAAAATTTAACGGAGTTTTGGACAAAGAATCTTACGCAAACATGTCGAGAATTGCCAAATGGAACTCGTCTAAATTATCAATATTTCTCTTATTTTCACCCAGGAAGAACTCGTTGAATTTTCCTGTCGCTTTAGTAATAACCTGTGTTGTTGAAAATCCTGTAGAGTTAAAATAATTATAGTTCACAAATGTCATTGATATCTGAACATAAGACGTACAAGCTACAACTATGCTCAAAGAAAGTAGGGAGGTGAAGAAGGAAGATGATTAGCAAAGATGTAAGTTTTTAAAAAGAGAAGTGAAGATGACTGACCTTTTGCCGCTATGCTCGTGACCAGACCCATCTTTGTCAATATGAACAAACAAATTCAATCAACTATATAAAGAAAGACAAATGAAGAGGACAGGAATGACTTGTTTGTCTGTATAGGTGATGGGTGCAAGCAAAGAATCCAGCAAATGTTCCATTGGTTTGCTAGGATCTGATCCCTTACTTTCATCAAGCTTTAGCTTTAGCAGAGATCTGAACAATGGGCTTAAGGAGGAATCTACACAACGGGCACACGGATGATGCTCTGATTTGCCTTGCAACAGTAATCCCCAAAAAGGGACAATCCGGATACCTGACCAACTCTAACATTTCAAACTTTCATCATGTAGATTCTTGACTTTTATCATGCTTTAGATTAAGCAGGAATCTACAGAATGGGCTCCCAGCATTTATCACCCAACAATAACTCTGAAAGAACTATACTTGTGCAGCAGTTATTTCCAATTCCTAACCAACACTGACGTTCTAGTACTAATTTTCTCTTGATCTTCAGTCGGAGGCCTTAACACTCTTAACAAAGACAAATTCTACACATTCCAACCGCATCAACTCCTTTCTTGGGAAGGTCAGGTGTTTATCTGTCTCCTTATTACAGATTGTGGCCTTTGTACCATAGTCGTCCATGTATATTTAGCCTCAAGGCTGACATCTGAGATATGAGGGAAAGCAAGAGTATATGCAAGATGTGAAACGCGTAATATTGGCAAGATAGTCATCACTCATAATTCAGCCAATCCAATATCATTACTATAAGGTGTATCCAAACCTCGCATGTACAACAGCATATGTTCCAATAGAAGATGTATTTCCTCACGCTGTGCATGTATTTTATCCCCAGCAATAAATTCACAAACCATACCATTAACTTCAATGGTACTGCAACCTGCCTCCTTTTTTGCCCCTTCTCTCCGCATCCGCCCCTTAATGTCTTCAACATCACTCCACCTCTTATCAGTGGCATACATGTTCCTTAGCATTATGTAGATCCCATCATTCCACGGTTCCATCTCAATTGCTTTTTTCTTGACCTTCTCAGCCCTTGTAACATCTTTGGCATAACCACATGCAAATAGAAAGGAACTCAATATTATTCCATTGGCCTCATAAGGCATGGTCTCAATCAAGTTTTCGGCTTCCTCCAAACACCCTGACCTCCCCAAGAGATCAACCAGACAACCATAATGCTCAATTTGTGGAGTGAGCCCATATTTCTCCATTTCGACAAACCATTTCTTGCCTTCCTCCACCAATCCACCATGGTTGCAAGCTGACAAAACACCAAGCATAGTAATCTCATTCGGCTCGTATCCTTTACTCTTCATCTTCTCAAACACCTCCAATGCTTCCTTAGCAGATCCATTGATCGCCAACCCATTAATTAAAGCATTCCAACTTGATGACTCTTTTACTTTTATCTCATCGAAAAATTCCCTGGCTTTTGCAATTTCCCCACACTTGGCATACATATCAACTAAAGCAGTGCAAACATTTGAAGATCTATCTAATTTCCTCCTCTTCACATACTGGTGAATCCAGTTACCCAAATCTAAAGCACCCAAATCAGCAATAGCGGGAAGTACACTGACAACAGTAACACCATCCGGCTCCAATGTCGTCCCCATCTGCAGCTCATGAAACAACTTCAAAGCCTCTTGTGGCTGTTTGTTTTGACAGTATCCACCAATCATTGCGTTCCAAGAGTACAAATTCCTTTGCGGCATTACATCAAATAACACCCTGGCTTCACTTACATTACCATTACTGCAGTGCCCATCAATCATACTAGTCCAAGAAATCACATTTCTCTCCGGCATTGCCCAAAACAATCTATTTGCTGACAGCATATCTCCTTTCTTCACGTAAGCATCAATCATCACATTGAACGCAGCAACATCTTTCTCAGGCATTGCATCAAAAAGTCCTTCAGCAATACCCATACATCTGCACTTCAAATAACCTCCAATTAAAGCTGTCCACGAGACTGGACTTCTCTGGGGCATTTCATCAAACAACTTCCTAGCAAAATCCATTTCACCAAACTTCCCATACATATCAACCAACGAAGTGGCCACAAACAAATTCGAAGCAAACCCACATTTCAACACATGATTATGAATTTCCAAGCCTTCCCACAACACCAATCTTGCGCCACAACACTTGGAAAGGCTCGAAAGCGTGTAATTATCGGGTTTAAAACTTGTATGTCTTAATAAATCTCTGTACAGAAATGTTGAGTCGGCGAATTGACCAACACCCATGTGGGATTTTATCATGGCGTTACAGAGGAAAGTCTTGTCCTTTTGGAGACTTTTGTCGAACATGCGGCGTGCATGGCTAATTCCAGCAACTGGGTCGTTGACGGAGAAGCTTGAAATGAGCATGGTGAGTAGACTGACGTTATTTTCAATGGCATTTCGAAGCATTATGGCGTGAATACGTAGAAGAGTGGCTTTGGAGTTCCTCCGTTGAAGCAAAACATGGCATTCTCTCTCTATTCTGCTCCACACCCCAAAGGTTTTTCTATCATTCATTGCTTCGATTTTGGGGAAGAAATTATGGAAGTTCTTTTGAAGTAGGTTTCATAGCAAATAAAGATGTAAAATTGATGCTTTATAGGAGTTTAACAATACTCTCTCCTCTCCTCCTTTTTAATATAAATACTTGGTAACTCCTAATTTATGCGACACATTTCACCTTTTGAGAGTCAAATGACCGACAATTTATGCATGAAAATCCAAAATGTATCACATAAATTGAGATGAGAGTAAACAATAAGGAAAAGAAAATGTATGAAATATATACGGAGACATTCAAGAAAATCTTGAACTGCAACCAACAGCATTTACGAAATACTATAACAATCACAGAGCCAAAAACACCATAATCGTATTGATTACTTGAACTAGTTATTGGGAGGTTGAGAATAGGTGAATTCATGCATTTCATTATCAAGAAGAAACACTCAACTCACATCCAAATGCTCGATGATTTCAAAGTGTATCTGGAGATCAGGGAGCTTATTACCAAAATACAATCTTTCACGTATATACAATTTCCCCATATTCTTCCGAGTTGCTTCTTTGAGAAGCCGAAAAAACTCATCTTTCTCCTTCCGGATCCAAATCCTGTCACGATCACACCATTGTCTAGGAGTTCCATGAAGGAAAAACCGAATTCCAGGGGCTCCTTGGACGAGGCGATCAGAAATTTTATGAATGACATCTTGGTTGGTTACATATGCTCCCTCTGTATTTAGACCAACATCTACGTAATGGAACTCAGCTATGCTATTTAAGAAGCCATCTTTAGAATTTGGAATAATCTGATCTTGTGGCTGGGAGGAAAATCCTCCAATTGTGACATTCTTGTTTGCTAGCGGCACGTCTTCAGTGAGCTGGACTGGTGCAAAACCAAGCTCAGTAACAAGCTGGTTGAGTACAGTACCACCCTTGCTAAATCCAAGTAGCAAAGATCTTGGTGTACTTGAAGATGATGTAGAAACTTCAGCTTGATAGGGCTCTTTATGTTTCCCTGAAATGACACTTTTTGCCTGTTTTAAGACAGTAAAGTAAATTCATAAGCAACTAAACATGCAAAATCATTGCATATAATGTTCTATCAAAATGTGCAAGAAGAAGTACGAAGTCCCCTCTTTGAACAGGCAGTATATCATTATGATTCCTAATATTCTGCATATGGACAAATGCGGAAAAGCAAGCGAGATCAAATGGAAGAAACACCACAAACGGAAGAAGAATATTCACAAGCCAGCTAGAGAAGCGAGTTACAGCCTTATACAAGCTCTATAAGGAGATAGCAAAAAGCAATTAGTGATTCATCACTTTTTCTTGCGAGAATTAACAGAATCAATATAGATATAAATGGGAAAGTACTTCCTCCAATGTTTTTGCAAGAACTAACAGACTGAATAAACTCTCTTAAATCTTCACAACTCATCTATGTCTTCTACAAACATGTTTAGTGCGGGTTCTAGTCAAAACAGGCCGAAAGGACATCTTCATTCACAAGATGGTCATGTCGAAACCTTAACTTTGTTCTGAGGCTTATTTGGGTTTTTCTTGAAGACAGTGTGATATAAGTATATAACAACAACAACAACATACCTATTATACTCCTACAAGTGGGATCTATGGAGGGTGGGGTGTATGCAGACCTTACCCTTACCTTGAGGATAGTGTGATATTTACCTAAATTACAGAGCCAAGAGGACATACATGACACTACAAGAAACTGTATAAATAGTATATCCTAGAGCCAAATAGACTTGCAATCTATACCAAGACTCTAATGAGGAACTTCACCTTAAATTTTCTCTTTCAATCAAGTTGAACTAACTTAACTAAAAAGTGGTACATGGTGATCAGCGCACAAGGCAGGTACTTCGAACAATAGATAATACCTCTTTTAAGCAATTCCACAAAAGCAAGACAATGGAGGAAGAAGCAGGGAAACTATCTGCATCATAAGATTTAGGCTCTCCATATTCTTTGACAGAAGGTATAAAGTCTTTATAAACCGCAAAAGGTCCATTGAAGACAGGTGCCTCAATAACCCAAGCATTGATAGAATTCCCAAATTTTGAAACCAAGATTTCAGCAATTTGCTGCAGGTCAGATAGCCTCTCAATCACTGGATTTCCCGTCCCATCAATCTTATCTCCATTGAAAAAAATAGCATTTGCAACAGGCACCTATGTTTCATACAAAATGCAAGGCATGGAGCAGGCCCTTCGATTAAAAACAATAAAGAGAACAACTTTCTTACTACCCAAACAGTAAATAGCTAAAATGCACATCACTTCAAATATGTCATCAAACTTTAAGAAAAAGGCTCATCTATGTCATCCGTTAAAAGTTTGGCTCATCTATGTCATTTCCATTTGAGAAAAGGTTCATCCATGCCACTATTTATATTCGGCCACGTCATTAATTAAATTATTTTTTAAAAGGGAAAAGGCTGAAATAAACCATCAAACTTTGAGAAAAAGTTCATCTATGTTGCTCATCTATGTCATTTCAGTAAACAAATAATGGCTTGGATGAGCCTTTTTCTC